CCCCGCACCTACATGCAAAACGTATGTGTCCGAAAAGACATGGACAGAAAAATACGCCTGTGGCCCACACCTATAAAACCTGAGGATTGTCTCACCGTTGTCCCTCTAGTGAATCTGTTGTTGATTTCATTAACACCAAAGCAGCTGAAAGTGATTAACAACCCCCTCTGGTACTTAACTGAGAAGAACAATAGAAGAAGTTTATGAAGTTTAAATGATATGATGCTATACTATGATTAAAAAGTTTTAGTTAATTTTTTTAGCAGTGTACTTAGCCATGGTTTTAAAAAATGTTATCCAAATCGGTTAAGTTCTGCATCAGCACCCTGTAGTGCTTGAATTGGAATAACCCCACAAATAAGATCTTTAATTTCAGTTTAGGTTGCACCAATAGAGCACTTAATTGTGCTGTAATATACATATATATATTGCCTGTCCTGTCTAGAAGTGTAGCAATCAGGGTTGTTGTCTGAAGGCCAAACTAAATGCCCAGCAGATTTATTTTCCAAAGTCTACCATTACGGCTTTTGCTATACTGGTCCACTTGATACTCATATTTAATTTGATTTTTATTAGGTTTTTAACATTTATGAGTTATTACAATCAGAATGCAAAAGACGGAAATAAAGAAAGAAAGAGAAGTTGGGGAGAAAGTAGGCAAAAGGAGAGGGAGAGAAAAACAGGGAAGAGAGAGAGAAAAAACACTGAAAATCTGCTGAAAAAAAACAAGCAAAAAACAACACAGCATGGAAACCACGGCAACAACCAACATATGCATAAATAGCGGTAAATAATAAATATTAAATGCTACTGAGCAGCACACAGTATTAATGATACATGACACATAATGTGTGAGCTGAGCCCCGGGCCAAATAGACCTGAGGGCTCCCCACCCCCAGAAACAGCCCAACAAAGCCAAGGGGGCCCGGCTCAGCCAAGCTGCTGTCGGGAATGATCCACTACGCATTTGAGCACCCAGCCCCAGACACAGAGAACCACCAATGCACCAGCGGAGTTGGGGGACCACCTGGACCTGCAGCAGTAGGGAAACCCACCAGCCGAGACCCCGACCAGAGGGCCATTTCCTCCTCCCGGCCCACTACCCCAGAGGTGAACAGAGAACGGGTTTTAAGATTTGTGCTTTGATTTAAGCAAGTTCTCCTTTGCGCTTTTCCAGTATAATAGCTGGAAATCCTGTTCTTGGTTATGCCGACTGCCAAATGTGCAGCCATAGTAATTCGTCCCATTTAATGAAGTGCTTGTCATTTATTTCAGTTGGGAGTCTTTGAAACAGCTATAATAACCAGGTAAAGATGATCAACTTGAGATATGAAACTTAATAAAACTTAATTAAATTCTATCTCCTAATGTAATTCCCAGTTTTCTGTTTTTTTAAGTCAATTAATTTAATCAATTTAATTCAGCTCCACTCAACAAAATGAACGCACACAAATGATGCATTTTTTATAGTTTGGCTTTTTCTCAGATGACATCTGACAATTTCAATATTTACTACTTCTGCTCTATATCCCACTCTCAGTCTGAACTAGCATATGATGCATTTCCTGTATATTTAGTATAATCAGATTTAATTTAATTAAACTCTAAACAACTTGAAAAGAAAAAAAATGACATTTTATTCACTTCTTTGCTGACGTTTGCTGCACTGCTGCAGATTTTACTGGATAAAGATGAAAAACATTTACTCACTGGACCAGTGAACTTGCAGGAGGCAAAGTCGCTGCAGCCACCATTTGGCTCTTCAGTACATCTGGAGAGCAGACAGAAAAACAGCCTGATGTCACGTCCCCAAAAGTAAACACCTCACGTTGATTTAATGAAGGCAACAAGGAAACCAGAAAAAAAAACGTATTTAAGACAAAGATGAAAGGCCACACCGACCTGTTAATGGGACTGCAGGAGTAGCCATCTCCCTGGTAATCACTGCGGCAGGTGCAGTTGACGACGAGTCCCGTCTGGTTGCAGTCCGCATTCACATGGCAGCCGCCGTTGTACTCGGAGCAAAGGTCTGGAGCTGCAGAGTGTTTTTAATAAAACTGTCATCTGATTCATTATAAATGCTGGCTCAGTTTAAGGTAAGCATCAGCTCGCCACATGTGCAACATCTGGAGCCTGAAACAAATGTGAACTGTTTTGATGCTTTTCTACAGCAACCAAATTATCAATCAGAACAGGAGTGCCACTGAGGAGAGAAAACAAATCTGATACTGAAAAACTAGAAGGATGAAAATATTTTAAGAAAAACAAACTGTCACAGAGCTCTTTCTTAAAATGCTCCAAAAACAGTTTGATTTATTCTGCCAGTCTGCTAATGTGCACAACAAGAACATTTACAGAAAGAATGACAGGTTACTGTAGTCAAAGAAAATAATAAGGGATAAAAAACTATAAATGAAAAGGGATTATGGCAACAGTAGGGCCAAAAAAAATGTTTATGCTTTTAAAAAATTATTGAAACAATTGATTTTTTACAATCTTTGTTATTTTGATTAGAAGGGAGGCCAAAACCTGTTTGGGGTGGGGCGGGGCACACCACCATTTTCTTTTTTGTATGCTGAAAAACTCTGGATTGTAAGGTTAATCAAGTGTTGACCAGTATTGTAATGAATCACATGGACGTTTATCACTTGCATATGCTCAAATGTTGGACAAGCTAATTAAACTGATTTAATTAGACCCCCTTGTTCACTGCCAGGGAGGCTAATCTTCCTCTAATCTAAGGGCTGAACTGGCCTCCTGTACTGCAATGCCAGGGTTAATAAGTTACAAATCAGCCATCAAAGACTAACAGGTGAATATACTTTGTCTCTTCTCCACCAACACATTCCTGGTTCTGTTATCTTTTAATCAGAGATAAATTACTATCATTGGAGCCTTCAAACTTAATTCACTGAAGCCATTTAAATGCACCAAGTGTTTACTGTACCAGCTCAGAAGAGACGATCCAAACACAGGACGCAGCAGGGTAACAGTTAAAAATCAAGATTATTGATCCAGACTGAGGTCAGCTAATTAAAGAAACAAAACACAAGAGGAACAAGGGGATACACAAAGAAGACACCTAGGACTAGAAGGAAACAAAACAATATATCAAGAATACTAACAGAAAGTTAGAACAGCTGACTGGGAAGAATTCAACACAATCTAATACGAAATAAAGGGAAACTGGGGAATACATTTACAGAGGTGAGTAGCTGGTGTGCAAAAACTTGTGGGAACTAGAATCAAGGGTGGAAGTAGACAGAGTTAATAAAATAAAAAAGGAACTGTGGAATGGCTGCTGTTTATGTTGTATGACGCTGATGATGTCATGCTGTTTCGGGTTGTATTAGAAAAGGTAAAACATTGTCAGAGCGTAGCAGAAACAACAGTGGATGTGACACAACCACCAATCTCGACCGATCCCTGTTGATGAGTGGTTGTTAGGTGATCATATGCTACACTTTTTGGTGTAGTATCTGATCATCCTTGTGATTTGAACACTGCAGTCACTCATAAAATACAACCAAGTGGTATTAAAACCTGAAAAATTCAATGAAATGCAGGTTTATTTACCCCAAGTACCTTTAGGCAACTGGCATCAACAGTTGCCTAAAGGGACTTTATGAAGTAAAGACCCTACAGTGTTCAGGAGAAAACCCTGACAATCGAACAAGCCCGTGGAATAAGCCTGCAGTGATGGTTTAAAGGATTCTAATGACATGTAGCAGTTGTAGATCTACATGTTGGGAGTGGAAAAAGTTTCATGGAGGGGGAACGCTCACAGCAAAATCTCCAGTGTTAAATTAACACTAGAGAGTGTCTATATGGGTCCACACCTCTGGGTGTTAAATACAACACTGTTGAGTGTTAAATTAACACTTTTGACAGTGTTATATGTTTAAAAGTAACCTAGTCAGTTTTGAAGATTAACAATGGCTAACACTGAGCAGTGCTGATTTTCTAACACTGGAAAACTATTAAATGTTGAGTATTTCCAGTGTTAGAAAATCAGCACTGCTCAGTGTTAGCCATTGTTAATCTTCAAAACTGACTAGGTTACTTTTAAACATATAACACTGTCAAAGTGTTAATTTAACACTCAACAGTGTTGTATTTAACACTCAGAGGTGTGGACCCATATAGACACTCTCTAGTGTTAATTTAACACTGGAGATTTTGCTATAACGCATGAAGTCCCACAGCAGTCTGAAACTACACTGTCTGATGGCATCATGTCAACATGGACTAAAATCTCTGAGCAATGTTTCAGCACCTTGTTGAATTTGAATAAAAGCAGAACTGAAACAAAAAAAGGGGGGGAACCTGGTTCAAGCATATTGTACATATTAAAGTGTAGTTTTGCATTATTAATATTAGATTTACGGATTATTTTTCTTAACCGTGGATAGAAAGCAGTGAAGACAGGAAGGTCAGGGGACAGCGGGCAAGGGAAGACACACCATGGGTTAGAGTTGAACCTGGACCGCTGCATTTCAGCCTTGTAGCCTATAGTTGCATGCAGATCTCAGAGGTGGTTTTTCACCTTCAAGGTGAATTTTCTTCATCTCAACGAGTTGCTTATTGGAACCACAGCTGGACCCGGATGATCAAAACTTACCAGAGCTTCCTCTTACTTCTGTGACTACAAAGCACTCTAATCTCTTCTAAATCTATTATTGCATGACCACCGTTAGAATGATGTGTGTTTTTAAACAATGGACAACACTCACGTGGCTCTGGAGTGCAGAAGGTGCCATTCCCCTGGAATCCCGGTTTACACAGACAACCAGCACCTAGCACACAGTCAGCCAGAGCGTGGCACTGCCGGCACTCCTCTGGGATTGAGCCTAGAAAGGCAGACGGGGGATTTATCTCAGTAGAAGATAACAAGTCAAATCCAGTCAAGTCAAAGTTTATTTATATAGCACATTTAAAAGACTAGTGTACATCAAAGTGCTTCACAATAAAACCGCATTTGCGGGCAGAACAAAGAACAAATAGTACAATTATACTTAAAATTGCATTTACATGGTGTAAGGCAGGCCAAATGAAGGTCAAACTAATTTGTTTCAAAAGCTAAGTTAAACAAGTGTGTTTTTAAACGGGATTTGAATGATTGAATTGATTCCGAAGTACGGATTTCGACTGGGAGATTATTCCAGAGTCTAGGGGCAGCGATGGCAAATGCACAATCACCTCTGGTTTTTAAACGAGACCTTGGTTGCATTAGGAGCAGTTGGCTGGAGGATCTTAGTGCTCTCTTTGGGTTGTACGGATAGAGGCGATCAGTTAAGTAGCTAGGGGCCAGGTTATTTAGAATTTTAAAAGTGAGCAGAAGGATTTTGAAATCAATACGATATTTGATGGGAAGCCAGTGTAGGTTAGCAAGGACGGGGTGATGTGCTCTTGCTTTCTAGTGCCGATTAAGAGGCGTGCTGCCGCATTTTGGACTATTGCAGGCGCTGAAGGAGGGAGAGTTGGAGGCCCAGGTAAAGAGAGTTACAATAGTCCAATAAGGAGTGATGAATGCATGGATACGTTTTTCGAGTTCTTTATGTGGTAAATAGGGCTTAGCTAACAAGAGTAAACAGGGCTTTAAGATAAAACTCACAGGTTTATTTAAGGAATGTTTTTGTGAATCCAACCTAGAAACTTTCAGAAAACAAAAGCATTCAACATGGATCCAGAATCCTCATTTTGTTTGCATAGACCATTTGCACTTGGACTTCCTACACTGTCTCAAAGTGGTCTCTTAAATTTGAATTTCGTTATGAGCAAGAGGACAAGGTCTCAGGGATCCAAATCCAAAGTAGGTCTTAATCTGAGTGAAGACTGTGTTGCCATCATCTCCTGGCATGATGGCACAACATCAAGTTTCAGGTAGTTTGCAGCAAATGTTCTTCAGATGCCTCAGGTGTTACAGAAAAAAAAGAAAACAAATGACACTCATATTCTTGTTCACACTCCCGGCCTGATGCACTGCTTTTCGACTTGGAAACTTTGACTCCTCCACTGAAAACTCCTGTCTGGTCTCTGGGTTGTCGCTGGAGAGCCCACTCTCATCACTGGGGTGATTCCTCTCCTTGAAAGTTGGTGACGTTCAAGGACTTTGGTGAAATTGCAGCAAATTACATCCAAGTAGTCATACCATGATTTCCATGTAGTGATCTAAAAGCAGTAGCAACACTGGAAGTGAACTGCACCCAAATTTTAGGGGTTTTCTGTGTTTTTTAATGGGCAGTCTTAAGTAAAAAAAACAAAACGTGGTTGGAATTATGTTGATCAAACACTGAAATAGATTATTTAACATGATTATCGATGCACTCAAACATCATGCATTTATTAAACTGTCTTTGCATCTAAATAAACGATAAATACATTGAAAACAAAAAACAGGAGGAGGTTGGCGGTGTTTTTGACCATAAAGGTAGTCTCACAGGAAGAACCACTGGTCCCTGCTGACCTGCAGCCTCTCCGTTGTGAGGTGGAGGTTTGGACAAGGACAAAAAGAGGTGCAGTTGGCAACAGGCTCGCATATCTCCAGAGACGAGTACAGAAGCTACTGAAAGAGAGCCGAAGCTAAAAATTAAATTACATCTCAAGCACACACTGCCAAAAGTGGACCAGGTAGTAGATGCTGAGGGATCTAGAGACAAAGGAAGCTGCAGCTGTTCATGATCGTTTCACATCATGACTTTAAGCTCCTCTTTATAAATCTTACTGATGAAAGTCTGGCTCAAGACGATCTAAACAGCGAATGAGTTTTGGCTGTAAATGAAAGGGCTGTGCTCGTTTTATAACACAAGACAGAACAGACCAGAAGAGCTTTGTAGCAAAGATAAAAGCAACAAGTCATTGCTGTATCTCATTATCTTCTTAACTGTTAAAAGCCAAAAACCTAACTGAAACTAAAATGAGTCACTCAGATGTGGTTTTCATCGTATCTCATCGCTGTTTGGCTGGAACAGAGAAAAACTGGTTAAAATGTTGAGGATAGCCCTAAGTTGTTTTTTTTTAGTTTAACAAGCCCTTTAAGGTGGAGAATAGTTATAGCAGATGGGTGGAGCTTCTGAGATAAGACATTAGGGACAATTTCCCCCCTAAATGAAAACATACACTGATGAGGCATAACCTTATGACCTTTTTCTTTTGCTGCCAAAACAGCCCTGACCCATGTTCCCTCTAAGCTGCGCACGTGCGCAATTGCGCACTGCTGGCACAGTCTCTGCGCACAGAAAATCTGCTTTGCACACAAAAAAAACTAACCTGAATTGAAATTAAAATTAATACTTTAACAATTCTGTTTTGCAGTGTTAGTCAGTGAGTGACTGGCTGCTCCCATATGGGATTAGAACACCTTATCCCATAGTTCAGCCAATAATGTGTATATACGCAGCCAATCAACGTCGTTAACAGGCTATGACAGCGTCCTTACGTGCCGACACCGGTGTTTGAGCTGGTAAAGCAGCGTGGCTGATGTGGAGTGAAGCCACGTTAATAACAACGTGTACAACCACTGGAGATGTGAGCAGGACAGACAGAACAATTCACGGAAAAAGTGTGGACTTTATAACAGTTTTTAAATTGTGTTGATAGGCCACGTAAAACCAGAGTTATCATAAAAATATCTGCAATGTTTGTTTTTCTTCCTGAATACTGTCGTTGTTTATATTTACTGCGGGAAGAAACTGTAAAAACGGCGTTTTATAAGGAAAAAAGGCTCGAAATCACTCTCCGCCTGTGAGCAAAAACAAACCCCACCCCCCTGTCCCTTTCCTATTCGTCCAAAAAAGTACCATGTCGACCAATCAAAAAATGATATGGCAACGTGGCATCTAGTTGTTAAGAAACGGGGGGAAGTTTTAGGAGTGTTTTGAGACGTCACGTGAGAGATTTGAGACATTTAGCACAAATCATGTGTAGTTAGTGTGTAGAGTGTAGTCAATAGTTTTGTTGTGTGTGTCAGAACAATGAGTCGACTGCTGAATGTTATAGGAGTGACACATCTCCTGTTGTCGGGCCTGCAGGTATCGGGCTGTTGTTCTCCTTTATCTCATAGTGGACAGAAATTGTTTTTTGGAGTGGCACAAATAATTTGTGTGGCATCAGATTTGATGCAGAACAGCTGATTGTTCTGTAAATAGTTTGAAATGTTTATTTAAAAATGCCTTGGCTGCATTTAAAAGAAATAGCTGCAAAAAACTTTGTTGTTTCCCAAACTGAGTTACTTTTTTGAAGAACTATATAATTAATTGCCCAACATTGGTCATTATATACGTTACAGGACTCTCTCCCAGACAACAGACTCATAATACATATCAGAGCTTTATAAAAAAAATTAAAAAAGAAAGAAAGTTGTGTTTTCAAAATTGGAGTTCAAGTTATTTTTACTTCAAATAGTGTTAACATACTACACAGGTCAATGACTAGATTTTTTTTTTTTTAAATTTCATTGTAAGTGGGCTAAAGCAGTTGATTAAAAGTAGTCTAACATAAATGTAAATGCTGTAATTTAATTATTTTAATAAACCATGTAACTTGGCTGGATTGGATGCCGGTGTAACCACAGTACACACGTCTGATGTCGCTCACAGTGGTCCAAGGGATCGCTCAGGGAGTTTAAGTGTTTGCTCAGATACATTAAAAATTAGAGGGAACATTGGCCCTGATCCATCAAGACTTGGACCCCTGAGAGTGTGCTATGGTTATCAGAGAGATCTGGGAAATTACAGGCAAAATCAACACCTCAAACTCGTTGCTCTGCTCCTCAGGCAGGCAGCGCACATTATCCTACTGAACCATTTACTGTTTCCATGAAAGGGTCTACATGGTCTGCAGCAGTGCTTAGGTAGGTGGGACCTAACAAAGTAGCATCCACATGAAGGGCAAGACCTAAGGATTCCCAGCAGAACATTGCCCAAAGCATTACACTGCCTCCAGAGGCTTAACTTTGTCCCACAGTCCATAGTGTGTGATTCATCAGGCCAAGGCACCTTCTTTCATTGCTCTGTGGTCCAGGTCTGATGCTCTCATGTCCATTGTTGGTGCTTTTGGTGATGGACAAGGGTCACCAAGGGCATCCTGACTGGTCTGCAGCCCAATGTGCAACAAACTGTGATGAACTGTTTATCCTGATATCTTTCTATCAGAACCAGAACAAACTTTTTCTGCAGGATAGGTTACAGTAGCATCTGTTGGATCAGAAAACACAGGTCAGCCTTCGCTTCCCATCAGTGAGTCTTGGCTGCCCATGACCCTGTAACTGTTTCACCACTGCAGACCAGGAACACCCAATAAGAGCTGCTCTGATGCAGTCGACTCCATTTTTCCTGCTTCTAACAGATCAACTGTGAGGACAAAATGTGCACTTTATCCCGAATATAGTCCACCCACTAACAGGTGCCATGATGAAGAGATAATAAGTGTTATTCATTTTATCTGTCAGTGGTCATAATGTTATGCCTGACCTGTGTACAAAGCCATGAAGATAGTCTGCTCATACAGTAGGTATTACAGGCACTCACCTCATTATTTGCAACTCCGACCTTATTTAAAGTAAATATTCACCACTGTAACAGTATACATGACAAAATAAAAGAAAGCACCTCAGATTCATTGTTTTATAATAACTTGGTTAAGGTTTAAAATGACCACGGGCTTGGTTTAGGGATAATTTAACCATGCCTTAATGGTTACCAAGGTATCCATCTGTTTAAAGAAATTGTGAGCTTTATTTAAGAAATAATAAACAAAAATCATACATTTGTAGGATGTTTTAGAATTTTTACAACCTCAGTACCAACCAGTGGCTCTTTTCATGAGCTTTGTTGACCACTAGAACCCAATCAGGGTCTCATATCTTTGTGCATTCAAGAAGAAATCTCACCTATTCTGTTCTGGCAGCGATTGCCCTCCCAGCCCGGCTTGCAGATACACTGTCCAGATCCTCCAATGCCATCATTGCACCTTCCCTGGTTCCTGCAGGAACAGGCTGAGAGAGACAAACAAGACTTGACTTGAAGAGTAGAAAAAAACTGTGAAATGAGCATTTAGAGCAGCCTGAAGCCTGAGCTTTGGGCTCACATCTGGATTATGTTTTATATGAGCAACATTATTTTTAAAATATAAAAAATGAAAAGCAGATAAGGTCCACTTCATAACTCACACAGCATAAATCTAATTTTTTGTCATATTTCTTATTTTAATATTATGCTTTTGATTTTATTTATGCTCCAAGGATCTATGGTGGTGAGCTGTCTGTGAACCTGAGTCACATTTGCAGCCCGAGTCTGACAGAGGAGAACAAATCAGCGTTATAGATAACATCCTCTCTACCAGAGAAGCTGACACCATCAGAGCTTAACAATTATCGACCAGCTGTTCTCACGTCGCATGTGAAGAAGGTACTGGAAACACCAGTTTTGGCTCACCTGAGACCACAGGTGGAAACATCTATTGATCCTCTGCAGTTTGTACACCAACCAAATCTGGGAGTGGATGATTCAATCATCTCCATGCTGCAGAGAACCTACTCCCAATCTAGAGAGTAACAGCTGCACAGTGAGGATACTTTCTATGATTTATCAAGTAAATTTGAAATGATTCAGCTGCTGCTTCTGAGCGAGAAGCTCCTGAAAATATCAGTGAACACGTCCACCATCTCATGGATTACTGACTACCTGACAGTCAGTCTTCAGTATGTTAGAATGGCATAGCTCTGTCAGATTTGGTGGTTACAGTGTAGCTTGCAATCACCAGTGTGTGAATGGGTGGATGACTGAATGTAGTGTAAAGCACTTTGGGGTCCATAGGGACTAAGTAAAGCGCTATACAAATACAGGCCATTTACCATCAAGGATGGCTACATGGCCCATGTCTATCCTGGGACAGGATGCCGATGTGGTGGAGGAGTACAAGTAGCTGAGCATCCACATGAAAAACAGACTAAACTGGAAGGATGTATACAAGAAGGGGTGAGCAGGTTCTTCAACATGTGCAGAAACATAATGGACATTTTCTATCAGTCAGCTGTGAGAAACATCAGAGCTGGTAAGAGAAGGTCACTGCACCAGCTGTTATCCATAATGGATAATCCTGGCCACCCTCTGCACTGCTTACTAGGAGGCAGCGGAGCATCTTCCCCAAAAGACTGATTCAGCTCTGCTGCCACAAGAACAGAGACAGGAAAGCTTCATGTTGTCACCATCTTTAATACAATATATCATCTTTCAGGCTGAGAGACTTCTGTCAGATATAATTATTATTATTATTATTATTATTATTATTATTATTATTATTATTGTTAATAATACTAATATTTTAATTGCTGTAACACACGACTTAATAATCATGGGTTAAATAAATATTACATAAATGCTGTTTTTTTCATCAAAAGTTTCATTGTTTTTTATAAGAGCTGTTATGCAACAGCTTCACTTTAACTAAAGCTGCAGAGTGCTCTTTGCAGACCTCAATCTGCTCTGGATGAATTGAGCAACCATGGCGACGTGTTTTGTTCCTGCTGTGACGAAGAGTTTCAAATCGACTCCAGCTCTAACTGACACCTCTGCTGTCTCCTCCAAAGCGAGGACACACCTGTGTTCCTCTGTGGAGAAACACTGAGTTGGATTTAATAAAGACTGTTAAACTCAAATAGGCAAAGATGAGCATTCGTATCCACATTTAAAGAAAAACAAAAAATCTGCTCTGGTGGTTTGGCTCTAAGCGAAGACAGCTGGCAGGTTTGTCCTGAGCTGGAAACACACCCAGCTGTGTGATGGTGAGTGTGGAGTGTTGCCATGGTGACAGACTGCTGGAGAGCTGATGGGGGTGAGACTGTCTGCTGATGCCAGATTTGCTACTTTCTTTCGCCACAGCGTATTAAAGGGTCACAACGCAGCCATGGTGAATACATCAAAGGGCTGAAACGCACCCTCCTCTTATTTTTACATTTTGTTTTTTTTTTAATACCAAAATCGTGCACCAAATTTATGATTGAGATTTTGCATTTCTATGCACTGCCCCCTGCAGGTGGTAGAGAGCTGCTGCCTCAAGTGCTGCTTTTCATTACACTCACATGTCTCCTCCCTTCCTCAGCTCATCCCAGTCAAGTGGGAGAGTTGTGAGGAAAAGGTGTGAGGATGGAGGAGGAAGCTGTGAAGTGAGAATTCCTCCATTCCAGAGTCAGTCTTCACCTATGGATGTTGCTTGTGATTGTTTTTGATTATCTACTCGTCTTATTTCTAGAAAGCGTTCTAAGAACTGAGCATTTATATGAAAATCAGCCTATCGCGCTAACTTTGGCTCATTACCAGATATTCTTGTTCATCAGTGAGCACTACACAGCATTGGAAGCAAGAAATTAAAGGAAAACCTCCCTCATCAAAAGTCTGTGAGGGTTCTCAGTCATCTAGGTCATCATAGTCTGAGGGGCTTGGAAAGAAAAGCGTCTGGACTTTTCTAGGTTTCTTGAAGATGTTTCACCTCTCATTCGAGAAGCTTCTTGGGTTCTAAGAGCAACTGGTGGAGAATCCCAGATTTTATACCCTATGGGAGTGTTCCCCCAAAGGGTCATGGACCCCCTATTGATCCTCTACCTAATCACACGAGCCAAGGTGTGAAAACGGGTGTGGGTCACAGTCAGCCAAGGTTTCGGATGAACCCACTGTGAAACCTAGACCCACCCTATCATGTGATTTCCTGAGGTCAGATGGCCCAGGATGTGAGTGGGCATTAAGGCGTCTGGGAAGGGATTTAAAAATTGGATAATAGATGGCAGACAGTTGGTGTCGTAAGCCACCGCCTCTGTTCAAAGATGGTGACATCGATGGCTTCTTTCACTCCTCTTTCAAACCACCTGCCTTCTCTGTCCAAAATGTGAACATTGGCATCCTCGAAAGAGTGACCTTTGTCCTTTAGATGCAGATGAACCGCTGAGTCTTGTCCCATTGAGGGGTTCTTCTATGTTGTGCCATGCATTTATGAAGTGGCTGTTTGGTCTCTCCAACAGCCACTTCTGGAGAGCTGTTGGAGAGCAGACCTTATCTACAAAAGGTGCACTCTCTTTGTTTTTCCACTGAGCGATGATAAAAACTAAAAAGCATTTTACCTGTGCAGTTAGGGCCATAGAACCCAGCGACACACAGTTCGCAGGATTCCCCTCTGAATCCGGTGTGGCATCTACATGTTCCAGTACCGAGATTACCGTCGTTGCAGTCGCCATGTTTGCCACAAGGGGCCTCCAAACCACCTGAACAAACTGCAACAGACAGAAGAAAAGGGTCAAAACATAGCATGGAAACAAAGAAAAAAAGAAACTCTCTTCCAGTCTTTATTAACTTTGCTCAGTGGGACCTGACAGAGACGGAAGTCTGTGGGAGAATTCTGCAAAGGTAAACATGGTGGCACACCCAGCCTTACCCAGCTTTCATGTCCCTGTGACCTCTGAAAAAAGGTTTTACTCCAGGGGCTTCAAAACAACTGCCCATAGGCATTACCAAGACGGCTTGCAGTGCTGTGAAAAAGTATTTACCCCCTCCTTGATTTCCTAGCTTTTTACATATTTGTCACATGTAGATAACACAAGTTAAATATAATCTGGTGACAGGGGATTTCTAAGAATCACCCCACAGTTCTTCAGCTAAGACACCTGAGTTAGAAAACACAAACACTGCAGTCGTCTTTACTCGCGAAGGCAGTCACAGAGCGCTCGTCCTCGCAGGAGGCACTCACGGACTCGCGCTCTGTCACTGTCTACGTTCTTTATTTATGCAAGCTTGTCACATGTGTGTACAAAGATAACAAAGTTATTCTAAGAACTCAGAGCTGAGGTTCCCCTTTTCTAAGTCTGTATGTTCTTAACATAGAGGAAGCTGTTAGTTGCTAAATAAGTTTATCACACAAGAGTTTATGTGAACAGTCACATAGACATGTGGATTGCTTAGTGATCCATAAATTGAACACATTTCATGTAGCTGATCACACTAGGTACAATTTTCTTCTGACATTCCCTCCTTTTTATCACGAAATGAAATGTACATGTTATCAGTAAGTAACTACTTGTCTTTCACATTTTCAGTTACTACATCATTAGTTGCACTTCATCTTCATCTAACAAATAGGAAAAGAAGTCTTCATGATCCTCATCGGTTTGTGGTACATCTGCATATGCTTTGAGTGATGTCGCTATCATCTGTGAAATTACAGCTTTTAAATAAGGGATAACACAAATAAAGAAAAAGCAAAATAAAACCAGGGAAACTCCAACGCCGATCAACAGTCTCTTGACTGAGCGCTTCTTCCTGGATGAGGATGTTGATGTTGATGTGCACTTTACACAAGCCATTCTGAAAGTGTGATCAGAGATCAGAATTGGTGCACATGTT